GGAGGGCTAGAAGTCCTTTAAGAAACAGCAAACAGCAGCATTCAAACACCCACACACCAACTCCCCCTCCGGTGCAGAACGACTCTCCAGAAAAGGGGCAACAAAGAACTGGGGTGAGACCACACAGCAGTATGACCACCGGGCAGCCAAAGGGGTGCAGGACCCTAACAGCACCAAGCATGCAAGTACCCCCAGATTTCACTGCAAGGCTGTTCTGCAGCTGTGGTCTAAACGTATACCCATCCTTTTGGACAGTTACACTGGGAGAAAGGACAGCAGTAGGGCAAAACCAATTCACAGTTGTACTGTGCCAGCTTCTCCCAGGAAGCATGTCAGTCAGAGAAGATTTAATCAGAGGAGCACTGCGGATACCACAGTTTCCCTGCAGAGCTGGCAAGAGCGTGTCAGTGAACCAGGAGAGCCCACGGCTTGGAGTTAAGTGATTTGCTGCTGAGCCCAAGCCGAGTGCATGCACAGCGGGTATTGGCCAAGTTGAGTACATGACAGTGTATGTTACAGGTTGCCTAAGTATCTTTTCATTAGCCTACAGATGGCCTTTTTCACCTTTTCAAATTCAAACTGCATACAAAAATGGCTGTTAGAGGATGGCACAATGTCAGAGCACAAACACCTACTCAGAACAACTTCCCATTTATGACCTGAAAGACAGTTTGTCTTCCTGTGTGTTCAAGGACTGAATTTCACAGTTCAGTCCTTGTCTGTGTGTGCTATGTATAACAAGATAGTAACTTCTTATGTCCAGCCTAGAGCAAATCCAGTGCCCCACCGAAGGAGAAATGAGTAATTTAGTGTATACGGAACAGGCCTAGTTTCTTAACCTAAATCATTTCAGGCACCCCCACAGATGCTAAGAAGGGAGCAGAGAAGCAGGACTTGCACTTAGATACCTGTAATAACGAATTAGGGGCCTACTGTCCGATCTCACAGGTGGGCATTTTGGTTAGTATCTGTAATTTACTAACAAATACAGATGGAGAGCTATACTTATAAATGTCAAGTAAAGACAGGACATTTTAGTAGTACAGAAACACTCTAGAATAACCTGAAATAAAATATTCACAAGAATTACTCAATCAAATGAGACTTTTTTTCCATGAGTTCTTGGCATGAATAAACCCAGAGCTCACAAAAATGGACACGGGGAGCAGAAAATACGAAGAAACAGCAAGATGTTATTGGTCCCAGAGTGGCAGATGTTTGCGAAAGGGATTCTGCACAACTGTGTCTTCATTCCTGTTTGCAAGGTCTGCCGTCAGAACTATGCATACCCAAGTGCCCAATCAGAATAAAAAGTACACTTTCAACATACTTCGTTTCCCTTCAAACCCACTGAGCTTTTCCTCTGCTGTCCCCAAGGGAGAGATGTGATGGGAACGCGAGTAGAGGCAGAACACTCAACAGCTTTCACATCACGTTTCTGCAGTTCGGTAGGCTAAGAGTAGACTTATTAGAGTAAGATTTATGAAAAAGAGGAGCACAATATTAATCAGTCA